ATGAGGCCAGCCTCTTCTCCGTGGTGCCCAGCAACAGGACAAGAGGCAATGGGCAGAAAGTGAACCACAGGAAGTTCCGTCTGAACCTGAGAAAACTTCTTCCCTGTGAGGGTGACAGAGCATTGGAACAGGTTGCCCAGAGAGGTAGTGGAGTCTCCTTCCCTGGAGACATTTGAAATCCGTCTGGATGTGATCCTGGGCAATGTGTTCTAGAGGTCCCTGCTTGAGCAGGGAGGTTGGACTAGATGATCTCCAGAGGTCCCTTCCAACCTAAACGATTCTGTGATTCTGTAATGATATGGATGATGAGACTGAATGTGCATTCACTCTTCAGCAAGTTTACAGATGATACGAAACTAGGAGAAGCAGTTGATACTTGATGGTTGCGCTGCCATTCAGACAGACCTTGAAAGGCTGGAGAGATGGGCCAATGAGAACCTCATGAAGTTTAACAAAAAGAAATGTAAAGCTCAGCACTTGGTGGGGAATAAACCCACATGCCAATACACTCTGGGGGCCAATAAATGCAGCTTTGCAGAGTAGGACCTTGGGTTCCTGGCAGACAAAATGTTGAACTTGAGCCAGCAATTTCCTTTTGCAGGAAGGAGGCCAACAGCCTCCTGAGCTGCATTAGGAAGTTCATTGGCAGCAGGTCAAGGGAGGTGATCCTTCCCCTCTACTCAGCACTGGTGAGACCACATCTGGAGTGCTTTGTCCAGTTCTGGGCTCCCCAGTACAAGAAGGAAATGGACATACTGGAACAAGTCCAGAGGAGGGCCACAAAAATGATTAGGGGATTGGAGTATCTCTCATATGAGGAGAGACTGAGAGAGCTGGGACCGTTCAGCCTGAAGAAGAGGAGGCTGAGGGGGATCCCATTTTTGTGTACATACCTGATGGGAAGCAAAGAAGACAGAGCCAAACACTTCCCAGTGGCACATAGTGACAGGAACAGGCTGCCCCCAGAAAGGTTGTGGAGTATTCATCCTTGGAGATCTTCAAAACCCAACTGCACATAGCCCTGTGCAACCTATTCTAGTTGGCCGTGCTTTGAGCAGAAGGGTTGGACCAGATGATCGCATGAGGGGCCTTCCAACCTCAATGTTTTTTTGGTGCTTTGACTCTGTGACAGTGCCTTGAAATACCACATCAATAGAGATGTTCCAAGAACAATGAGTTTTCCATTTACCCTGAAGGATTTTGGAATAGATTTGATGTGGCAGTTCTTTACATGGCAAATACCTTAATTGGTCTGTTATCTACAAGCATAGATCTGCACCACTGTAACTTGGTGTGGTGGACTCTGCCCCAAACTATCAAATGTATACATATATATTAAGCGAAAAAAACAACTAGCAGAAATACATTGGTTAATAAGGATGTACTACAAAACTACTATGATGTTGATCTCCAAGCAGGTATTTCACTAGGCAGCTCAGATACAGGTATAACAGGTACAACATCCTTGTTGTACCTCCCTCCTGTTCCACACATCTGTTCCCAAATGGAGGGGTGACCTGCACCCTACCTTTCTTCCAGACAGAGTTGACACTCAGCCAAAACACAGATCAAGGTCAATGAGCTGGGAAAACTTTCTAAATTCCCACAGTGCATAGACTGATTTGTCTAAGTTGATGCTTATGATTTATGGTACAGAAGTAAAAACAGATGTTTTTGCTCTATTGCAAAAAAATAGCTAAATAGAGAATGCTCTGTGGGCATACAGTTGCCAGTCACACATGGTGGTTAAATGAGTAATTCCCATTCACTTCACACTGGACTCAAAAGATGTTACTTTTATGGGTAGGTACTTCTCAATATGAGTAAATGTTACAGAAGCTGAAAAAATCAATGTTATTATTTTCTGAAGTCTTTCACTTCAGATTTGCCTATTTTCTCCTACTCTTAGTTGCTGGGCTTCTTTTTATTTCCTGCCATTTCAGTTTTTTCCCTAAAACAAATACTTATAATGCTTCTTCTCTTGTGGGTCATTATCTTTTGACAAAGAACAATGTGCCATCAGGAGAGACCCAGATCGCCTTAATAAGTTGCAATAATACACAGGAGAGAAGTAAGAAATAAACCCCTCCTAAATTCTTCTCCTTCTAATTTATTATTTTTTAATCTAAGTTTATTAATTGAAAAAGTAGCAAGGGATATGCTATTTTTTCTGACCTCTATACAAATCAATGAACAGAAAAATGATTAGTTGGGGACATTTTTATTGATTTTAAAATAGGTTTTAAGATTACAAGAAATTCAATTCCAGTGAAGGTTTAAAAATTAATCATATATGATCATATATTATATGTTCAATGAAGAAGTAAAAGCAAATATATTTCTTCCAGAATGGATCATCATACAACATCCAATGAGTTCTGTGCTGTAGAAAGTTACATTTATACTTGTGCCTAAGATTAATGAAATACTATATATGGTCAACTCACCTTTATGGTTAATAGCAGCTGTACTTTAAAAAGATACTGAGAGATGAATTAAAGCAGTTGCATTTTGGTGTTATAGCAGATTGATGAGTATCAATCAGATATATAAAACCATGATACGTGCTCAGAATGATGCCTTAGAAGTACAAGCACTGTTTGAAATAGCAGATAAAAAGAGTAATTCTTTTTGTTGATTCTTGCTGCCTAACAATCTGCAGACAATTCAATTCCAATGCCAGTACTATCAGGTAAGAAGAAGAGAAAACCAGGATAAGGGCAAAAGAAAGTCTGTTATGTTGCGGTATTGAAAAGAGATTGAACATTTTATGAATCTTTCACACAGGACTAATGGTGTGATTGATAACTGCAGTGGAGATATAACTTGAAGATTTTCACAAGGATCAACTATGATTTTAACTGTAAGCATTTTCAGGAAATATATATAAATATATTGAAGCATAAACACACGTAACTAACTTGCAAAAATGCAAACATTGAAAGATACATTCAATTGCTTGCTTTTGCAGACCATTTTTTTCTTTATCCTTTCCTCCGTAGATGTTTATCCTTTCCTAAAATCCTGTATTCTCTCAGAAGACGGTCATGAATCCCTTCTATGTGGCCTCTCATCCTCCCAAGTGATAACTCTCTTTCCTCTTACTCTAATTTTTATGCATATGGTAACTCTCATCCGTTCGTCTCTTTCCCCCCTCACTTCTTTTCTCGGTTGTCTTGGGTTCAGAGCAAGCAGCCGCTCACCCTCCAGTCCTCAGGCCCCTCACACCAGCCAGGAGGACAGAAGATGGCCACGCCAGGAGGGCCCCCTTCAGGCGCTGGCTCCTTCCCGCCACCAGGAGCTGCGAGCCGGCGG